ATATGAAGCAATGAGATATGACAGTTTGAGTGTGCTCTGAGAACGATTACTACATGGGGAAAAATGGTGATGGTTCAGCATGGGACCATCTTTAGTCCATAATGGATGTTCTACAAATTGTGCACTATCCTGCATCTTAAGGGACACGTTTATTTTTGCTTCCTAAATGCATTGGCTAGACAGTTTAAAGCCTGTAAAGCGATTATTTAAAAATTCAGGTATTTTTAGTTTGCTACTGATATAATTTCAATAGAAGTTTATTTTTGTGTCAGTTAGCAAAGTCTGTGATCGTGAAATAGATGAAATTTAGTCGGATTTGGATTCCTATAAAAAATTTATACGATCCACACAACACGTAAACAAACACTTTTCTTCTGCTCCAAGTTATTTCGCAGCAATTAGAGCATTAGTGCATCACTCCTCGAATGTCGAAATTGCCTTTTAATTGCGTGGCTCTCACCACACTTGCGCGCATATTTTTAAATGCTCTTGTACAATTTTTCACCTATAGGCTGCAAAGTGGCGTGACGGCTGTTAGTGCGATTGCATTTTTGAGATGTTGCTAAAGCCAGTGAAAAGTGAGGAGTCAACATGGGCAAATGATGCATTACACGACCAACTGCAATGACTCCTTTTACCTAACAGCGAGACTCTTCAGGCATTATGGAGCAGCAGCAAACGTAATCCTATCGTTATTATCCCTCATTATACCCAAATCTCTCTGCTTTGTTACTCATAGCGACAGCTTTAAAGGTGTGATACCTTCTTGTTGAATTTCCACAGCGTTCGGTGCGGGCGTAGATGTAAATAGTGTAAAACAGACGGCAAATCACTCAGAGGTAATGCTGCACCAAACGTATTATCTTCAACCTTTAGATAGGAATAAAATGTCTTGTAACTTGTAAGTTGTCACGTTAAAAGTGCCAACCGTTTCGCACAGCATCTAGGGAAAACGACTGAACAGTTGCGTTTCAGCTACATTTTCTCCAAGGAACCAAAGAAAGTGGTTGATGCAAACCGGGCATTGTCAGATGGCAGTATGATTTTGGTCGTGCCAAATTCCTTTCTTGCACTACGAACAACGAATAGAAGTCGGATTACTTTCCAACTAAAGTGGTACAGCTGGCTAACTTTTGTGCTTCTGTACTCCACCTTTGTCATGAGCGAACGTAATTTTTCACCAAGACGTGCACACTTGTTCACAACCACCAAATATTACCCGAGATTGGTCTCCTCTTAGCAGCTGTAAAGGGTAACCGACTAAGTCTTTCAAGTGGTAAATGATACAGAGGAAGTTCAATCCTGGAGAGCCTTACCAATACCTCATACGGTCACTATGACGTGAGGATTTTGTGTCACCCCCTCATACTCAACCTCCGATTTTCCCAATTATTCCTTGCGTGTGAACATCTTTTTTTAAGTTGGCATAGGTTGCCCACCTGCAAAGTGGAATAAATTCAAAAGCCAGATGGGAAGGGAGGTGAGGTGAGTTCAGGTCGTCGACTTCAAGTGGCACAACTGATGTATTAAGGTGTAGTTCGCAACACTTCAAAGTCCGGATTGCAAATGTATTGCAGAAAGTAGTGATTTAAAACTTTGGAGACTAAAATCTTCACTTACTTTAATTCTTCTCCATGAAATTGTTTGCATGCATGATGTAAATCTGCCTGACAATCAATGTAATTTGGGGAGGGTATAAGAACTGTCAACGCTACCTGTCTATCGTAAAGTTGAGGCTCTTAAAATGGTGAAAATTTGGTGTTTTGCTTCTCCTTTTTGAGCAACAAACAATCACCTTGCATTACAACTTTGACACGCAACAAATCGGCATCACAATCTTGCGCTACAATAACACCGATCCACGGCATTCTTGAATGCCTGACTTGGTGAAATGAGTTTGCGGTCGACAAGTCTTGCCTTAAGCGTCAGTCAGATCGTTGCTCCCCCTTTGCGGGGAATGTTGTCCAGCTGGCTGTGGCCGATGCTTGTTTACCTCAGGTAAGGAGGAGGTGGGACCTTTGGCTGTGGCTGCGGGCGCGTGTGTCTGCGGGGCTGTGGGAATGACGCTGAATTGACACATGCGGTCTTGTTTGTTGACGTCTGGTTTCATCGTCCTCTTTTTTGCACTCGGTAAATTGATAAAAATTGACTCCAACATTCCCATCAGAAGCCCATTTACCAACTCCAAACAGCCCCATTATCAGTGCCGGAGAAGAATTGGGGAATGGGGACATGCGAACTTTCTGTCAGAGGACTACGGCCAGATTCCAAACAAAAGATGTCCAGGGTTCATGAAGGTCTCACTAATGGTAGGTCACATTCTTAAATTCAAACATCAAATACTTATCGCCAGGGCAAAAAAAAAACTCATTTTACTTCTTTTAAGCGATCAGGCACGTGCTTGCACAAACCATCCATACAATCGTGGCAAGGATTACAACACCTGCATTGCTTTCCATAAGGATTGAAGACGATGTCATGTTAATGATAAAATGGAATTTTTCATGAAAACTTGAGTTACTGGGACATGCAAAGGGCTCCGTAGGTGAGCGACCAACCAAGTCACTTCAGCAATCATACGTCACTAAGGCCCAAGTACCATTTGAGCCTTCGCTGTGTCCAACTAGACTCTCATTTGTATGTCTTAACAAAACGTCCACCAGAACAGCTAATGGCATCCACTTCTTGTTGATGCATTTGAAGGACTCTCCCTGTGCACATCACTGTGAAGCGGATCCCCTCAAGGCTAGAGGGAGGGAGAGAACGAGTGCTAATGGTTTAGAAGGGGGAAGAAGAGACAAATAAGGAAGGCGAAAAAAATAGCCTCAGTGTCCCTCTCCTCACCAAAAAAAAAAGGAAAACCTCTCTCACATAGCTCGAGGTAGTTACCAGGAGATGCAGTATGTCTTTTGCCACTTGACCTCCACTCCCATATTTCCTCAAATTGCCTTTTTTCTGGCGCTCACAGAGCCAGTTACTAATTAGCAATAAGAGTCCACAGCTGCCATTGTATAGTACGTTCCAGCAAGCATTAAAGACGAGATGCGTCTGTGGTCACTTGGGTGTCAGTGCGGCACAATCACGTGGTGAAATTAAAAATTCAGACACATCGCTCCGCTTCCAGTTGGTTCCGAATGAGCTTCATTCTGGACTCGCGTCATCCACTCTCTTCACGCTTCGACAGGCGGTTCGATGTCTGTTCCATTCCCCTACCCCTTTCCCCTTTCCTCCACCCTTGGACCCATCCCCCTGGTGCCAGATTGTATTTAGACTCGAGTGCGCAAAGTCTATATCACCGCCGCCACCACCACCACCAGCAGTAGCATCGGCAGACGGTATAAACAAACGCAAGGGAGCGCGCACGTTCATCACATTAGCGTGGGGCTGTTTACAAAACCACAGTGAGAGGGAGAGAGAAGGCCAACGAGTCAGAGAACGAACTGTCGGGAGAACGAAACAAAAAGACAAGGGGCCGGTAAGGGGAATGCGAATGCATTTGCGTGCGTGTGGAAAGTAGTTGATTTTGGTGTCCACCAATTGTGTCCCTACCCACTACCACCGCCGCCTCCTGGCTCCATAAATCAAATGCAACAACCACCCTGATCATTTACCCTGTGAGGCGAACTCCAGGGGAGGAGGGGACAGGAGGGGAGAATTGGACTGTGCGCGATGGCCTGATTAAATGGCGACCCTTTATTATATTTGTGTGGATAAATGATTAGGTGCTCCCCTTCTCCCCTATTGTATTGTGGTTTGCCCGTCGACGGCATCAAGTTATTAGACGCGGCATCCCACTCATCATACCAACTGAAATGCCTAAAATGGAGGGCTTTGAGGTGCGCCCCAATCGTTCTGGTTGGTACTGACACAAAGGCTTGACTTCATAAACACCACTGACCCTACTAAGGGTAGATAAATGGTTGACACTTGTGCCACGATAAAGGTTTCTTTTTTTAAAAAAAAAAGTTGAATTTTCTGCAAACTCTCCCAATCCCACTGTTTTTAGCTCATTAATTTTTAAATAAATGTGAAAGTTGCGACATGAGTGATTCCTTTGAATGCATTTGTAAGCATACATCATGTGCTTGCATATGAACATCTTTCCGTTGCGAAGAATTCAAATTACCTAGGCGACACCGCCATGGTTACATCCGCCTTCCAGTTTGTAATTCTTCCCTAGATCGTTGCTCTAACACCATGGCTAAATATGTTTGAGTCATTTGACGCGCTAGGGTAAATCAACCACGCGATTTTCACATTTGGTAAACGTTGATTTGAATAGTCAATTGCAGCGAACTTTCCTCATCTGTACACGGTGCCACCCTTAGTGGGAGAAAATAATTTTAAATTTTGTGTTCTTGACGATTTCTCTTAATTTTCTCCAAAAATTCGTAATAATCCACAGACTTTCCCTCCCTCTCCCCCACCTCAGTTGGCTTTTAAGCCATAACGTGAAGTTCCTTCTTAAATAGAAACTAGACTTTTCTAAATAAATGGAAGGAGAAGCTAGCGGACATAAACGCCAACCAAGGTGAAACGGATCAACTCACACCTCCGGCATAAGCGACTAATAGCCTTGGCTAATGTGTCTTATCAAGTGAGGCACCTCAACCCCCTCCTCTACGGGAAATTAATTTTGAGTAAGCGCTAAAGATCCGATATTGTGAACTCAGTTGTCATAGTGATTGTCGTTAGCTTTGAATCCAAATCCACACGCCCCCGAAGCCACCCTTGCAGACGTGGCTTAAACTGGACCCATGACCCCCTGTTCATCAGCGTGGCGACCAGCCTTAATCGGTACAAACAAAAAATTGTGCTAACTCCCGGCTAGTTACAATCCTCCTCCATAAATTGTATTACGAATGCAAAGCGTGGAAGTATTCAGGGGTTGGCGAAGTGCTTTTTGTATTGGAGAGACAAGTGTGCATTAATAAGACTTTACACTGCTTTATAATCTTTTGACTATCTACATTGAAGTGAATTAAAATGAATAACTGTATCTACCCCTTCTCCGAATTTCGCATGATGCGGTCTATGGAAAACACGTCTCTCGCCGATTTTCCTGAGTAGTGCGGGCCATTCGATTCTCTTTGAGTAGAACCGCTTGGTGACGGAGAATGAGTTTCCTTTGGGGTGGCTCTTTTATACCTTTTTCTCCGACGCAGGAAGCTACCATCTTCAAACATATTTTTAGAGTCAGGATCGAGAGTCCAGTAGTTTCCTTTGCCTGAGCCTTCCGTTCCTCTTGGGACCTTGACAAAACAATCATTCAGAGAAAGGTTGTGCCGAATAGAATTTTGCCAGCTAGGATACCTTTCTCTATAGTAGGGGAATCGAGAGGAAATGAAAGCGCATATCTCGCTCAGCGTTAGGCGTCCACTTGGCGAATTTGCAATGGCCATTGCAATTAAAGCTATATATGAATAAGGTGGCTTTGCCGTGTGCGCGTAAACTCGCTCTGGTGATGGTCCTGCAGAATGAGAAGATGGAGAGCTTTGAGATGTCCATGGATGCGTGGAAGACATTGTTGCGGGTCGAGGAACTGATGGTGGAGGTAGAGGGAGTGCTAATTGGGTTGAAGGCGATTGGGGAGCCAGTGATGGTAGGAGCGTAGGAGGCAATCTGTTGAATATTTCCATTAGCTGACAATGAAGGTTTATAACATCCGCAGGACTTTGTGAACCGCCGAAAGAAAGCACAGGGAGGTTGGCCATGGTTAAATTACTAACTGAGCGGTTGGTTAGATATATGCGCGTGCGAACCAATCACAGTAAAATTTGTGATCAGCCAATCACAATACAGTGGGATCTCAATGCGAATAGTGTTAACCTATGGTAGTCTACTGCAACATTGTTCTAACGTTTTTCTCTGGACCTTGGTGCAAATAGTCCCCTTCTAATCCTTGTCGTAATACCCTCAGCAGGCTGGCAAGGCCTTCAGCTTAACTTAAATGTCTCCCGAATTTTACAATCGTATGGTTTCATTCGCGTGTGTCTGTAAGGATTTGAAAAGTTAGCGCCTTATTGACCTAGATGTGAACCTCCAAAAAAGTGTCTCGATAAAAAAATCATGAATTTTGCGATCATTTCTTGAGACTAATGCATTAACCTCATAGACTTTAATCAATTTGCTTGTATTTTCACTCTCCTCCGCATTTACAGTAACTTTTTGCAAGACCTCACTTGTACCCAAATCTGAGGAGTTAGGAACACTTTCCAAGCATACTTCGCTCTTCTCGCCCTCCCTATAAGGATTTACATAGCCGTTGGCGAAATGACGAAGGGACAATGAAGAACTCGGCAATACGCCACAGTCAGAGTCGTCGGTGGTGATGATAATGGCCTCGGTAGTAAACTTGTGTGCGCCTGTGTGAAAGGGCAAAAAACCATCCCAGCTCCCCATGGTCTCACGCCTACTCCCCTCTTTCTTCGCTTTCTCCCGCCCCCACCTCCTCCCCCCAAAAAAAAAACACAGAGACGGAAAACTCACATCTTCCTCTGTTGTTTGGGTGTACGTGTGGGAACTTTAAGAGTTCCGATGTTCGATTCTAGCTGCGTCCATCGTGCATCCACGCATTGATAAGCGCCGAACCGACCGGCACTTGTTTTGTTTTGAGGGGCAGCCGAGAGCCGACGATAGCTGAGAGGCTGAAGCAGGATTGATGGGAGAGCAAGAGCCAGGTTGCGCCACAAATTTATGAAAGGCAGGGGAAGGAGAACCGGCTCGTGTATTCCATCTAGTCACACGAATGCACGGTTTTGTGTGTTTATGTGCATTCCAATCTGGACCGGAGATGGACAGAATTTGGTTAAAGCACAAATTGCTTTTGTTTTGACGCCTTACCCCACCTCGCCCTTTGGGGTAACTTGAGATGGTCCCACCTCCTGTCTTGGACATTCAGCAGTTGGATGTGTCAGCACTGCCTAAACAATGTGCTCCGTTTTCTCAGCTTCCCGGATGACGTTTAACCTCTTAAGATGGAGATAAATTTTCGGGCTGCAGGTTTTGGACTGGATAAGACACCTATCACAGTGAAGCTCTTGTGTGTGCATGTGTATCTATTCCTAAAATTAGTGGCGATAATCAAAGAAAAATCTGTCGAAAATAAGGGTTTAACGTACGAAATCATAATTACATTAAAGCCCATCGTCAAAAAGGTAGCTATTTAAGAAGGATGGAGTACAAAGTGAACGCGCCTTATAGGTATTTCCAGGCTTAATAACGATTGCAAAATGAACTGTCATAAAATGTGGCAAAAGGTCAGGGCAATAACTCCGCTATCAGCGGTCAGCGCCAATGGTAACATGTAGTAATTGCTAGGCCTATGAGTGGTTATGCATACAACACAGCCCCTCCCCCTCCCGCCCTCATTCAATGCGGAGTTGACTCTGATCCACGCGGTGTTGCCAGCGGAACCGAAATGCTCCCACGCCTAATTGGTGTTTATGGTCGTTCAGGCAGGTGACAAGACAAGGTTAAGGCGAAAAAAAGCATAAAATTACCTCTCAGTATCCGTATGAAGTGAGGGAGCATGAGTGTTCCTTTTATCGTCAGAGCCTATGCCAGGATATGACAAATGTGGCTAGTTGTTGCTACACTCACTCACCACAAGGGCATGACACGCACCGGCTGCGAATCAATCCAAAGCACAAGCAAGAAGCAGTGAGCTGCTATGCCATCATTCGTACCTCAATATGCTTTTTGATACGGAGAAAAATGGAGGCCGTTTACTTTACGTCGCATCCCCTTGATAACCTCACATTACTGTAAGTGGCATCACTAGAGCATTCGCTCCTCATCTGATACGGATTGAATAACCATGGCTAATCGGGGCTTGTTAATGCATTTTTCAAAGGTGTAAACAAAGTGTACGTGTGAATAATCATGTCGCCAAGATTAGACCGTCTGTATGCTCACCTCTCACTTCTCCCTTAACCGCCTCCCCCCCACTGACCCTCTGATTAACCATTTGACGACCCAGTTACAAGTTGTCATGGCCATAGCAACATACCCACTTTATATTAGCAGTTTGCCCACTCTGACACAAACCACTAAGAGCTCTGCCCACCTTCCCCCTCTGATCCCCAAAGTGGTGATTTGGAATACGGGAGCTGAGAGGAGACGAGAAAGAAGAGCGATGAGACGACGTGTTCCTTAACACATCGCTTTTTGCGCATCCCCCTTAAGTGAGTGCTGCCTCAAGATCAGTTTAAGCTAAGAAGGAGGAAACCAATTAACGTTTCTGTGTGGTACGCGCATATTTTGATTAATGCATGGTTAGATCCCGCGTTTGAGTAGAGAAGTAGAATCGTGTAGTAAGCGCATCACCTGGAATGAGGGACGAAGGGAGTTCGCCTGTTTGGGAAGAAGGTCAGGGAAAGTTATGAGGAATCCAGCAACATTCTTTTCTAAAGTGATGGCTGCGATGCCAAATTTGAATGGGGGTCAATATAGCCTCTGGCAAATCATAGAGCGTGCTAATAGCGAAAAAAATTGGCGTTTTAGCTGGTGGCTTAGCATTACGCACCTCGTGGCCAATGGATCAACCGACGTTGGCGACGCAACTCAGCCTTAGCAACTACGTGTTTGAAATAGGGTTTAGGTGACTCGAACGTGCCGAAGGTAAGCCGTGATACAGCGACTTGTGTAAACCGTAGAGGCGACCGATGCAACCAACCCACAACTTCCTTTTGGTTGCAGTGATGCAAAGGTGCGGAACAAGGAGGAAGAGGCGCCAACAGATGAATGATTCGCTCGTTTAGCTCATCTTAAAAAATGCGCTTTTTGCTTCCGACTTTGTCTATTCTCAAAACAGGCTTTTATTGCCTACATTGGTGGAGGGCGAAACAAGGATTGGACCAGTAAAGTGAAGTACAGAGCAATGCTTTTGGAGAGCCTTTGAGCTAGACACAAAGGCTCGCCTTCCTTCCATACACATTGTATAGACCTTCAAATCCATGCACGTATCCATAGTCCATTTTTTACAAACATTATAAAGTAAAGAAACTGTCGACAACCCAACCATAATAGAATACAATGATCACATTCGCCGAGCTAACACACTATGCACAGTCTTCAACGTCACAATTTTTCATCAACATTAATTATGCCAAAAAAAGAAACCTTCGATCCTGTTAGCCTCGTCTAACTCAAAAGGTAAGCCTTGCCTAAGCCTGCCTACGATCAGGGCGAAATCTGCGACATTAGCCTACATAGAAAGAGTTGTAGGTGAGGTTATTTTCCCAAGACCAAAATAACGCCACCGCCGTCAGACGAAGGGCACTCAAAAAGTGTTTCGCTGTTTTCAATTCCATCAAACACACCTCACACACACGGGTGAGTAGTGAGTATCACAGCTCTACCCTCTTTTGTAAAAAGTAAGGAAAAAGTCCCACAAGTAAGCGAGAATTGATAAAAATTATGATAAGAATTTCTTTGATAGCTTCAGATTGATTTTCGACTTCATATTACCTACCACTTCATACCTCCATCACAATCACATACCGCCCCTACCCGACATAATTCGATCACTTTTGTGAGAATCCCAACATATACATCAAAGGTTGATTTTGGAGCGTGCGTGTTGCCACGATTGACTTCGATTTAACAATATGGGCTTGTAGCACTTCACCAGCTGCAACTTCAACTAATTGAGGCCATCCAACAAATATGCTCAAATGACTCGCCATACCTCCACACCATTCTTCAGCCGTGCA